GGGCGGCCGGTGGGGTTCGGGTGTGTGGAGGCAGGCGGGGGGGGGGGACGGAGGGGGGGAGGGGGCGGGGGGGGCGGGGGCGGGGCGGGCTCCTCGGAGGGGGGGTTTGGGGGGGTGTGGGGGGGGGGCGGGGGGGTGGGGGGGGGGGAGGGAAGGGGGGGGGGGGGGGGGTGGGGAGGGGGGGGGGTGGGTGGGGGGGTGGGGGTTGTGGGGGGGTGGGGGTGGGGGGCCTTGGGGCGGCGCGGAATGGGGGGGGGGAGGGGGGGTGGCGGTGTTGGGGTGGGGGGGGGGGGGGGGGGGTTGCGGGCGGGGGTGGGTCGTGGGGTGGTGGGGGGGTGGTGGGGGGGGGTGGGCGGGGGGGTCGGGCGGGGTGGTGTCCGGGGGGTGTGGGTGGGGGTGGGGAGGCGGGCGGGGGCGGGCGGGGTGGCGGGCGGGGGGGGGGGCTGTGGGGGGCGGGGGGGGGTGGGGGGGGGTGGGAGGGGGGTGGGGGGTGGGGGGCGGGGTGGGTGCTAGCGGGGGCGGGGGGGTGGGGGTGGGGCGGTGGGGGGGGGCGGGGGGGTGGGGGGGTCGCTGGGGCGGGGGGGGTGCCGGGGGGGGGCGGGGGCGGAGGGGGGGGGGGGGGGGGGGGTCGGGGGTGGGGTTGGGGGGGGTAGGGGGGGACGGGGCGGGGGCGGGGGGGCGGGGGGTGGGGGGGGGGGCGGGTGGGCCTGGAGTGGGGGGGGGGGATGGGGGGGGGTGGGCGGGCGGGGGCGAGGCGCGGTGTGGTGGCGTGGGGGGCCCCCCTAGGGTGTGGTGGCTTGGCGGGGGGTTGCGCGGGGCGGCGGGGGGGGGCAAAGCTGAGAGGGGGGGGGGGGGGGCGGGGGGGGGGGTCGAGCGGGACTTGGAGTGGGGGGGGGGGGGGGGGACGTGGGGTGGGGAGTGGGGGGGTGGGGGTGCGGGCGCCGCGGAATGGCGGGGTGCCGTGGGGCGGGGGTGGGTGTGGGGGGGGGGGGTCGGGGCCGGGGGTGGTGGGCCGTCCGGACGGGGGGGGCCTCGTTCGTCGCGGGGGGCGGGCGGGGGGGGGGGGGCGGGGCGTGGGGGGGGAGCGGGTGGGGAGTTGGCGGGGGGGGGGGAGGGGTGGGGGGGTTGGGGGGGGTGGGCGGGCGGGGGGGCCGGGGGGGGGGTGGGCGGGGAGGGTGAGGCGTGCGGAATGGGTGGAGGGGGGGGGGGGAACGGGAGTGCGGGTGGCGGGGGGGGCGGGGCGCGGGGCGGGGGGGGGGGGGGAGGGGGTTGCGGGGGGGGGGGGGGGGGGGCATTGGCGGTGGTGAGGGAGCGGGGGGGGGGGGGAGTGGGCGGGGGGGGGGGGGGTGGGGGTGGGGGGGGGTGGCCGGTGGGGGGGACGGGGCGGTGGGGGGGCGGGGGGTGGGGGGTGGGGATGGGGGGGTTGGGGTGTGGGGGGTGGGGTGGGGGGCGGGGGGGCTTAGCGGGTTATGGGTGGTTTTCTCGGGGCGGGGAGGGGGGGGTGGGGGGGGGGGGGGGGGCGAAAGGGGGAGGGGGGGGAAGGGTGGGGAGGGGGGGGGGGGGGGGAGGCGTCCAGAGGGGCAGTGGTCTGGGTGGTAGGGGGGGGGGAGGGGGGGGGGGTGGGGGGGGTGGGGATGGGGGGGCGGGGGGTGGGAGGTCGTGAGGGAGTGTGGGGGGGGGGGCGGGGGTGGGGGGGTGTGCTGCGGCGGGGGGGTGACGTGGGCGGGATGCGGGGGAGGGGGGGGGGGGGGGCCGGGCGTCTGGGGTGGTGTGTGGGTTCGGTGGGGCCGGGGGTGGGGCGGGGTTGCGGGGTTGTGGGAAGTGGTTGGCGGGGGCGGGCGGGGGGGAGGGGGGGGTGGGTTGGCGGGGGCGGGTTGGGGGGGGGGGGGGTGTGGCGGGGGTGGGGGTCGGTAGGGGGGAGGGAGCGGTGAGTGGGGGTCGGGGCGGGCCGGGGCGAGGTGCGGGGGGGGGGGGGGGGCGGAGGGAGGGGGCGGGGCGGGGGAGGAGGGGGCTAGGTGGAGGCAGGGGGGGTGGGAGGTGGGGGGGGAGGGTACGTGACGGGGGGCGGGTCGGGGGGGTGGAGGGGGTGCGGGGGTGCGCTTGGGGGTGGGGGGGGGAGGGGGGGGCGGGGGGCGGCGGGGGGGGAGGTGGCGGGTAGTGGGGCGCTGGGGTGGAGGGGCAGAGGGGGTGGTGCGGGGCAGCCCGGGTACGGCAGGGGCGGGGGGGGGGGGGGGGTGGGTGAGTGGGGGGGGGGTGGTAGGGGGTGGGGGGCTCGGGTGGGGGGGGGTGGTCGTGATGGGGGGGTGTGCGGCCTCGACGCGGAGGGGGAGGGTGACGGGGGGGGGTGGTTGGGGGGGGTGGGCCGAGAGGGGGGTGGTTGGCTCGGGGGGGTGGCTGGGGGGGGTGCGGGGGGGGGGGGGGGGGTAGGGGGGGGGGGGGCGGGGGGAGGGGGTGAGGGGGGGGGGTCGGGGGGGCGGGGTGGGTGGGCGGGGTCCGGAGGAGTGGTGGGGTTGCGGGGGGGGGGGGGGGGGGGGGGCGTCGCGGGGGGGGTGGGTGGGGGGGGTGGGGGCTGGGGGGGGGTGGGGCGGGGAATGGGTGGGCGGGTGGGAGGGTGGGGGGGGGGGTGGGGTGGGTGGGGGGGGGGTTGGGGGTCCGGGGGGGGGCGGGGTGAGGGGTGCGCGGTGGGGAGGGGGGGTGGGTGCGGGTGGTGGGCGGGTGGGTAGGAGGGGAGGAGGGATGGGGGGGGGGGCTCGTGCGGTGGGGGGGGCAGGGGAGGTTGGTGGTGTGCGAGGGCTGCCGGGAGCGGGTGCGTTGGGGGGGGTTGGGGGGGGGGGGGTGTGGCGGGGCGACGGCGCTGGCGGGGGGGGGTGAGGATGGCAGCGGCGCCTGGTGCGAAGGGGGGTATGGGACGGGTGGACGCGTGGGTGGGGGGGGGGGCGGGGTACGGGGGCGGTAGGGGGGGGGGGGGCTCCGGGGGGTGGTGAGGGCGGGGGGGGGGGGGTGTGGTGCGGGGGGGGGGGGTGGGGGTATCTGGGGGGTGTTGGGGGGCGGGGGGGGGGGGGGGGGCCTGCGGGGGGGCGGGGGGGGGGGGGGCGGGGGGGCGGGGGGGGTGGGGGGGGGGGGGGGTGGGGGGCGGGGGGGGCCGGGGGCGGGGCGGCAGGGGGGGGGGGGGGGGGGCCGGGGGGGGGGGTGGAGGGTGGGGGCGTGGGGGGGGGCGTGGGGGGGGGGGGCGTGGGTGGGGGGGGTGGAGGGGTATGGGGGGTGAGAGGGGGGGGGCGGATGAGGGGGGGCCCTGGCGGGGAAGGGGAGGGGTAGGGAGGGGGGGGCGGGGGGTGAGGGGGGCGGGGGGGGGGGGCGGGGGCGGGCGGGGGGCTGGCGGGGGGGGTGGGGGGGAGGCGGGCGGTGTTGGGGGGGGGGTTGGGAGGAGGGGGCGGAGGGGGGGCGGGGGTGGGGGGGCGGGGGTGGGGGGGGGGGGGGGGGGGGGCGGGGGGGGGGGTGAGGTCGGGGTGAGTGGGCGGCGGGGGGGGTGCCGGGGGGGGGATTTCGTGGGGGGGGGGGGGCCGGTGGTGGGCGCGGGGCAGGGGGGGTGGCGTGGGGGGGTCGGGGGTGGAGATGGGTGGGTGTTGGGGGGGAAGCGGCGGGAGCGGCGGGGGGAGCTGGGGGTGGGGGGGGGGCGGGGTGGGGGGGTGGGAGGGGGGGGAGGAGGCGGTGGGGGGTCGGGGGCGGGGGTGGGTTGAGGGGGCGGCGGAGGGGGGGGGCGGGTGGGGGGGCGTGGGGGGGAGCAAGGGGGGGGGGTGGTGCGGGGACGGGCGCGGGGGTGGGGGCAGGGGGGTGGGGGGGGAGGCTGGGCGGGGGAGTGGGCTGGGGTCGTAGGTTGGGGAGAAGAGGTGGTGGGGGGGGGTGTGCGGTTCAGCTTGGCGGGGGTGGGGGTGTGGGCGGTGGTTGTGGTTGGTATGAGGGGTCGTTGGGGGGGGGGGGGGGACGTGGGGGGGGTGTGGGGTAGTGGGGGGTGGTGGGGGTTGGGGGCTTGAGTGGGGGGGGGGGGTTGGTGGCGGGGGGGGGGGTGGTGTGTGCGGGGCGGTTGGGGGAGGGGGTGTGGGGGGGGGTGGTGTGGGTGGGGGGGTGGGGAGGGTGGGGGGGGGGGGTTCGGGGTCGTTTGGGAGTTATGTAAACTGCTAATTACTCTGATAAACATTAAATAATTTAAGTAACTTATAGTTTGTTTGTTTACATTTTGTAAAAAAGTGTGAACAAATTTTCCATTTCAATTAGTTAATGTTTCAAACACAACTTAAAATAATTTATTGAACATTTATTGAATAATACGCAATTGAACATTTATTGGGCATTTACTGGACAGACAATCTATTTTGAAGAAAAATATATGAATGAAAGCTCTAGAATTAGTTTGAATGATTAAAAATTGATTCGAATTCTGGATAAGAAAAAATAAAACAGTGAAATATCATAAAGTGCAAACTTAAACATGAGACTTGACAGCCAGAAAACTGCAGCGAATGATTATAGAATAGCTATAATACTATGTGCTATAGCACACTTATTCTATTATAACAAATTTTACTAATAATAGCTTCATATTTTCTTTGACATAAAGCTGAAAGCCAACAAGACAGACATGAAACAAAGGAGCTAATAGCTTAAAGAGCTATTAGTTGAATATTATAGTTGAATCTTGGCCAAAAGATTAGTTACTCAGAATCTCATAACAAATAAGCGAAGCTATTGAAAATCCTTTGAAACGCACTTTCTAAAGTAAGAAGGGAAAACTTAAGGTCAGAAGGAAAGCTATAAGTAAACATAGAAAACTTTGTAAGCAACAAATAAGCTCAGAGAGGACAACCTCTTACTCATTGCGATTGCTGTAGCTTTTGATGGAATTTATTCCTATCGAAATACTACTCTGTATAAAAAGGCATCATTTAAGCCATCATTTCATACTACTGTGTTGATAATTTTATGGAAATCTCTTTGTTTTTCAGGAATCGCGCAGTGGTATTATAAAAGATTTGGCTGATCACATTCGACAGCATCCGGAAAATATGCTGAATTCTCATGGCGAAAGCGTGTATCGGATGCAGAGGGAGAAACTGGCTGTCCTGAACATGAGACTACATTTTCTGTATTCTGCCAGTGCCATAGGATTGGATTTGTTTCATATGTCTTCTGATAATATCGGATTCAACATTGTCGGTGTACCTTTCAGAAAAGGATTTCCTTACATGGAACGCGTGAATATGATGTAAGCTTATACGCCTTATTCCAGCTAGAATTTGGCCATTTAAACAAGTAATAAATAACTATATTATAATTTAAGGTTCAACTAAGGAGCTTTTGTTTAACCCTTTGATCACGGGTACAAAATTCCTAAAAGCGTTAAAAAAAAAAAAAAAATAGAAATAAGCTCGCACTTTTTTTTTTTTTTTTTTTTTCTGCGAAGTTGATTTTAGCTGAAATGCCATTTTCTACCTACGCGATAGGAACGTTCCCCCGTATATATTTAGCATTAATCTTGAATGCGTTATTAACAGATCCTGTGGTCAGAGGGTTAATTAAATATTATCCTTTACACGCTTAAAAATTTTAATTATTAGCTCTGTATTCGAGCTTAGCTTTGACAGTTTACTTTCCGCAATGAAAGTTTTGCATAAATGTCAACAAAAATCTTTGTTTTGATTTCAGACTTCCATAATTTTCTTTATTTTTCCAAAACAAAATTATATTTTGTATTTCTCAGAGATAATTTGCTTCATACAACAAAAATATGCAAATTTAAACCATTCTTTTGTTTAAAACCTGTTTGTTGATTAATGTGGAAATGTTGTTTGACAGAAAAGAATTTGTAATAGTAGATTCAGAGACGCAGTTGTAGTTATACTAAAGTACTATAAAACGGGGGAAAGGAAAAGATCCACCAACACCCAAGCGGTTAAATTACTGAGAATTAGTAGTTCAACCCGAGTTCAAACCCAGGCGAATAGGTTTTGTTGCATGGAAGTTTTCGTGGATTGCCCCATATGTATCGAAAGTATGAATTGCGTATAACATTAAAACATGATTGTAAACTGATTCTGCCCTGTCAGAAAATGTACCGTGCAATATATTAATGAGGACGACAATTTATAATAATATAGTGTTTAAAATTTAGAATTCAGTTCCGAACCCGCTGTATTTTCATTACATAGTTCTAAACTCATTTCAAAATATTAAATAACTGCATTAAATTACTTTTCACTGATTTACAGGAAGTTAATTTATGGATATATTACAGACATATTTCCCTTAAAACCTATTCTGTTGGTTTTTTTACTTGATAAGAAATGCTGAAAGGCTTTTAAATCCCCATTTTTAAATCCCACTTTAACATAATTTGAGTCATCGAAATATGGGTAAAAAATTGGAATGCCATTTCAGAAAAAGTGCGGTTTTGTGTCAAAATACCTATGTTAGAACAATGCTACATATAAATGCAATATCTTAAGTTGGCTTTTCGAAACTGGAAAAATGCAAGTTGAATTTTGTCAATTGGCTGAGTAGAACGGAACATACAGAACTAATTTTTTTGGGTGTGTGTGTGTGTGTGTAAGGTGTACGTCTGGAGAACAGCGGATCTTGACCAAACAGTTCTGTACTGTATAGGAATGCATATAGCTTTCCAAACCTTAATGGAATCTCAAAACAACCCTTACTAAATACCATGAATTGTTTTTCTTAAACTCGAATATATATATCCTGTTGATCCTAAGCCGCATATCCTGAGGATTGTATATCACTATGAACATTCAAACGTTATTTTTAATTAATATTATTGTTCTGCTTTGCACACACTTTGATATTTTCAATTGATCCGTGTTTTTTGTAATTCATTATAGCACAATATTAGCATAAATGCATCATACAAATGCTCTTAAAGTTTTTTAATAATTTTATTTTCTTCATGTTTCGTGTTTATTGATTAACTTTTGAGCAGCTGTATGATGTTTTAATATTTAAACCGATAGTTAAATTTTCTTTGAAATCCACCGAAAATTGTTTCGAAAATGGGGATTGATTATTGTGAAATAAAAATGAAGGGGAATTTTGAAAGCGAAGGGGAAATGGACTGAAACTTTGGCTGTTTTGTAATGAAAGATTTAATGTTAAACGAGCAATATCATGCCAATCTGGTACACAAATCGAGAGAGAGAGTATGAAGGAAAAAAAAAAGCGAAGGAAAATTGAGAAAGGAGCCATTATGCATTAAGACAGTGCACCTTCTTCTAGTGTCGCGAGTTAGCAAGCTGCTGTAATCGATAGTGGCTTAACTGCGCTGCTACATCCATCTTATTCTCTCGACTTGGCCCCGTTAGGTGTTCATCTGTTCTCTACTATGAGTAATTCACTTTGAAAACATCACTTCAACGTGGATGATAATGTCATTGTGGCTGTCATTAAGTGGTGTAAAGACAAATCCTTCTAAGATGCCTGTAAGCAAATTTCTGTACTTAATGTATAATTGCTTTAATATAGGAGATGATTATATAATCATAATGAGAAACGATAGCTCAAGCATTCCCTTTATTGTGAGCCTCAAATCGTTTCATCCTTTCGTCGTTTAGTTTGTTAAAAATTCAAAAAAAACTGCTCCTTGTAGTTATATGTCTTCTGGGGCATTTTCATTTAACAGCTGTTAAAAAGGCCCGAGCTTTTGCTTTTATGTAGCCAAAAGCACATGTCAATAACTCGTATAGCCACTAATAATAACATTTGGTTTGGATGTGATTAACTGTGTTTCGTAATTATGTATTTCATAAACAGTCTTTAAAGCTGAAAATGCATTTACTCACAGGACTGTTTTAACTTAATTTTGATTAAACTCTAGCTTTCCTGGTTTCCTTTGAGATTTTTTTTTATTTTCTACCTTTATATACTGATTTTTTTTTTTTTTTTTTTTTTTTTTTTTTTTTTTTTTTTTTTTTATTTTGGTATAGAAATAGTCAAGACCAGTTGAATAGTATGGCATCCTTAACAGAATTTTAAATTTTTATCAGGATATAAATTCCCCATAAGATTCCTTCCACATTCCCAGAAATTTAATTTTGAATGTAGGAAAACAAATTTTCGTTGAAAGTTTAAAGCGCGTATGCATTTTCTGACACACCCTATATGCGTAAAATATTGTCTTTGTAATCAAGAGATTCTCATGCAGATATGTGTTTTATGAATTTTTTTCCCTGCACATGTTCCTAGTTTTTGTGGTTTTAATTGCGAATAACCTAGCATATATTGATATAATAATAGTACCATGGGGGTAATTCGTTCTATGGCATACCGCGGGTAACAGCGAACGCTATGGGAAACAGATATCCTTGTAATATAGAATTCGAGGAAACTTAATTGGTAAATCTGACACAGTAAATCATTGCTAATAGTAATAAATAATAATAAAATATTGCTTCCTACATTGCACTGTAATGCAATAATGCAAAATTTACTTTTCAAAATACTATTTGCTTCATCACTGATGGACCATTGAAACAAAATTTGCTGAGTGGCGATAGAATGTCACTGGGAGAATAACGAGACTATTAAAAGCAAATATAAGAGAAATTTATCGGTAAATCTGCGTACATGGGGGAAGGGAAGGTGTCAGATATTTTGACCCTAATGTCTGTGGTCTGCAGCTAACACTTTTAGAGCTGTCATGGGGGAATGGTTAAACACGATTCTGAGGAGTGACCTCTAACCTGAAAACCACATGAGGTTTTGAAAAGGACCATTTTCAACCCTTCCCATTTAGTCAGAAATTATGAAAGTGTATGCACATATTTATAATCGTGATTATTGTGGGGATGTATATATTTATAGTGCTTAGCTTATTCCAGTGGGTGTGTTTCACATTTCATAAGCTGTTTTTCGCTTGGCGTACATTTTAGAACATGACTTTATCTTCCTGTTTTGAACAACGGATAACTGAAATCACGGATACAAAGCAACGATTGTGCCCCTATTTCTGTCATTTGTAGAGAAGGGCCAACCAGCGGCCGAGCGGTAAAGTCGCTGAACACTGGTAGTTCGGTCCGAGGTACGAATCCCGCGAATGGGCTGGCTGCATGGGCGTTTTCGTGGTTTTCCCCATGTGTAACGTATATACGAGCCAGTTTCCCTTAGTAAGGTCCTCCACGAAGACATCCCTCTCTTTAGGCAGATAGCCCTCAAGGCTTTGCCATAATCACATACACACACGCACATTTGTAGAGAAGTAAAAATCACAGTCGCTGTTGGGATTGAGGCTGTTGTAGTTATGATTGAGGCTGTAAGTTAAGAATTCAAAATTAATTTTAGCAATTATTCGATAATTTCAATTGTATATTCAATAATCTTTTAAAAGCTACACACTTTGTTTTAAAGCGAAGAAAAGTGCGCGTTAGATAAACTACAGTTGAATGCTTTAATATTTAATTTATGCTCAATTTTGTTTTCCTTCATATAAAAATAATGGATTTTTTTCTGTTTAGCATTCATCGAATGGCTGCTGCCGGCATCTATATGAAGCAAATAAATGAGATCAATTACTACCAGAAGCTCAAAGCTCCAGTACCTCCAACTAAGAACAATAAACGCCCTCTCTCTCTTCAAGATATCTGGACATCTGTTCAAATATTAATTGTTGGCCACCTGGTATCTCTAATATGTTTAATTGCTGAAATTGGTTATCACAAACTGAGAAATCGGAATCCCAATATTTGAGTTTAAAAAAAGCGGCTTTTGATTCAGTTTTTTAATTCATAAAGTAATTTATTTAATATTTTATAGTTTCAGAGATTAGCTTAATCAATAAATTTTTAACCGCTATTTTAACGTAATAATACATTTAGTTACCCTACATCTCAATAACTAGATGTGTACTAAAGCGATATGATACTGAAGATTCATAAAATCTTAGCTTAAAGGATTGCTAAGCATAAAGTAACCTCTTCCGAATGAATTATGTTTTACATTTTAAAACCTTAACAGAAGTTAACTGTATTTTAACTTTGTAAAATGAATGTTTCTATTTTATTTTATACATATAATAAACTCGGTATTGGTTCATTTAAAAAAATAATCGAAACTATAATTTATGTAATGTAATCTGGTTTGCTTAAAAGCCTGATATAGAAACGATATCGTAAAATCGTTTCTTCTGTAAGGTTTGGAAAAGCAGCTTTTCGGTCTGATTTTTCAAGTGAGTGCATTAACGCATAAGTATATACTGAACTTAAAATGTTATTTGGAAGTAAGAAAAAATAAAAATCTTGTACAGCTTATTTAAAACTTTGTGCAATTGTAGTTTTCAATAAACTGTAAACTGAATTTTTGAAGTATTTCACTTACATTGCGAATTTTATGCATGCGAAAAAGATTTTTTTAAAAAAATTATTATCGAAAAGCAAATAATTTTTAAAAACTAAAGAAAATCTATAAAGTTGAAACTCTAAGAGCACTATATGCCTGTTAATGTTCAACAATCCTACCGTTTGCATTAATAATATTTACTTATAAGGTATTTTCTCCCTCCTTTCTGCTTGCTTTCGCGGTGTAATAGGAAACATACTCGACGCGTATTCAAGAGGCCCAGAGTTCGAGTTCCGACTACGGTATTGCACATTTTTCCTCTCTCTTGCTTTTTTAAAAAAAAAAACTACTGATTATACAAATGGCGCCCGAACTAAAAGGGGATGGACAGTAATACATCACCACCAGGATTAGGGAATTGGGTTTCCTAAACCTCAGTCGCCCTTTAAAAGGGGGAGAATATAAGGTATTTTCTCCCTTTTTTCCGCATGGCTTGGTGGTGTAATTGGAGGCATAGTCAACTCGCTTTCGAGAGGTTCAGGATTCGACTCCGAGGGCACTGAAAATTTTTCATTTCTCCTGCTTTAAAAAAAAAAAATTAAATTAAAAAAAAAAAAAAAACTTAATGTACTCTACACACATCTGAATAGATATCAACCAAAAGCAAGTAATTTTGATTACTTGATTTTGTTTGGATAATAACAAGGGAGCGCAAATTTTATAAGGGCGTTTTTCAATGAAAATATTTGAAGGCATTGTCTTAAAAATTGAGTTTCGACATAAGAACGAACTTTTATTTCCAAAAAATTAAGAAACTGATACGCATATAAACAATTAATGTAGAAGTTAATCTGAATACATTAAATAATAGCATAATTTTAATGAAGCATATATGCTAACACAAATCAATGTAAACCGAGTATGAAATATATCCTTTTTTGATATAACTTATTCCACACTTTTTGGTATTGATTTTGATCAATACCAAACATTTATTTTCATTATTTTCATCTAAGTTTAATTCCAGATTGTCATGGAATTAAACTTAGAGGATAACTGGAAATTAAGAGAATTCTTGACTTATACTTTTTGGTTTTCAGCTTTTGCTTTTCTTTCACAATAAACAGAAGCTTTTCTCTTAGGTTAAGGTCAGGTGAGTTTTCCTACTGCTGAAGGACACATAGAATTTTAGAAGGATACATAGAACATAGAAGCCAAGAAATTTTAGCAAATATTTGCAATGGAAATTTAGGGACTGGCTTTTGTACAGGTTCAAAATTAGTTACAAATAATTCGATAATAAAAATGATTTTTATAGATTATATGATAAAAAAACAATATTATTTTTTTTATTTAATCTTGATATTCATTTCTTAATATCCATATTTCTAGAAATATGGATATTAAGAAATTCTCCGGTGTTTGCCTGATGTAAGTCAGCAGTATCTATTCCATTATTATTGTTGTTATTATTCTGATAGACAATATTGTCTTCAATTCGATCCCTAGCCTTTTTCAGCAAATGTTATAACTTTTAATTTAAAGCGGAATACCAGTCCTCTTTGGTCTGGGCATCTTTAACTATAAAACGGAAAAGAAAAATCGTACATTACTTTCTTTCTTTTAGCCATCGACAGAATAGCTGGCCCACGGGGTTACGTGCTTTTCAGTTTGGTGGATCCCGTCGATGGAGTTAAAAAAAGATCTTAGTACTGTATCCTCCGGGAAATGATTACGTTTAGAGCATAGTGCTGTGCCCTCCGGGAATTGACCACACTAAACGAGGATCATTGAAAGAAGAACCAGAATATGGAAAGGAGGTCCATGGTGGGGACTGTTGAGACTAAGGGAACCACTTTTCACTATTATGGTACATGTTAGGCATATAGATATATTATGGACATGGTATAGACACAGGTACAGACGGAAAGATGAAACCTGAATAAATACATTACAAATCACGAAATACATTAAATGAGTGTTGGATTAATCATAATATTAAATATAATTAAAAACAAAACAAAAAGAAACAAGCAAACAAAAACACAATATATTAAGTAAATTACCAGATGTGTAGAGCACGCTGCTGACGGCACTGTGTCCAAGGAAAGAAATCACTCCAGGCTATCAGCAATGTTCTTAGCAATGGTAGTGCAGTCTTTAATGCGGCTGAGAGCATATTTATTCTTAATTGTGTTCTTGAACCATGCCGGCATATTGATTGAAACTGGTATTTTTAAAGGTGAATTCGCTGTGTGCGGGCAATCATACAGATAGTGATCTGGATCACCAGTACAGCCACAAATAAATTGGTCTGTCTCTTAGTCCAGATCGGTGAAGATAAGACATACACGGGCCATGCCCTGTCAGATATTGTGTGAGGTGTGAAGAGCCTATTTAAATTCTGATTTACTTTTGGATGAAAATTATATAGTCTTTTGCTGTGATGCTCGACAGTAGTTTTGCCATTGTTTCATTAATTCACATTTTGAAATGGTTTTCAGATATGAGTGCGGAAGTGGCGCTCTAATGTTACTCACATGGGGTTCGTTAGCTGCGCTTTTTACAATCACATCTGCTGCTTCATTTCCTTTAATCCCCGTATGGGCTGGAACCTATTGAAGCTTGGGCCTCAGACTTACAGGAATCGAAATTAATAGTTTCTGTATGTCTACTGTGGCCGGTCTGGATAGTCTCCAAGCTTGACACTAAGCTTGTGTATATTGCTTTATACATTCCATTGGTAACAGTAAAATCCAGAGCTGCTTTTAGGGCTGTAAGTTCTGCCTGAAATACTGAGTTACTGGGATGAAGCTTTTTCCCCAGGAATGGATTATGGGGTCACCGTCCATTGCACACTAGGCACTGCAGTCCTGAGCTTTCCTTTGGAGCCATCAGTACAGAGGTGGCAGAGGATTGTACTGCAAGTGGAGGATTACAGCTTGCTTCTACATGAAAGTCTTCAGGGTTGCAAAAGAGAGTGGGCAATGTGATTCTCGTATTCCGAGGATACATATATCCTACTCCAAATAGTAACGTCTTGTTTCAGTCTGATCGCTCTCACCGCAGGACTCTCGCTCTGTACTACCAAGTGCAGGGGCGGAAGACCTGCCAATACATTTGATGCAGTTGGTGGAGAGCTACGCAATCCTCTGCAGATGCCCAGAAGAAATGGTCTTGGCACTGAGTTCAGTGCTTGTTGCATGTTAATCAAGACATTGACGCTCCATATGGAGATGTCATGAAGTGCAATGCGCTCAACGACAATGGCATACCATACCTTGAGGGTCTGGGAGGAGACACCCCAGCTTGGCTTAACTGTTCTTCGCACTGTGTTAGACAGTTTATGCAGCCTTTCTTCTTGAAATTGTGAGCTTATGTTCACTATCACATCCGATTATTTTGTCTAATGCTTTTAGGGAATTGACTTCGTAACTTTTACAGCTGAGTTCGTTTGAAACAAGCAGGAAGTCGTCAGTATACGCTATTAATTCTGATGTTTCATCGTCATCAAACAGGTTGAGCGCGGTGTCTGCTACTGTTGTGTAGCGAATTTAATTTAATTAAGTGATTCATAAAAATCAAAATTTTAATTTGTAATTATTCAAAATTTGAGCTACACAAGTTTGGTTATATTCTTTTTGGGCCTATTAATTCTAGTGTAATATATTTTGGCTTTCCGAGTTTACGCGAACTGCGTCTTCATCTTGTACACGCAAAACAAGGATAAGTATTTTTTTCCACGTAATAAACTCAGTTTTTCATGTCAAAAATTAATTTGATTTCTTAGTATTATTTAAATATCATTAGTTGCAGAAAAATTAGCTCTTTAATTTGGCATAACTTTCGTTTTTCTAACTTTAATTGCATTTCAGTTATGAGCTTTAATTAGTAGATTTTCTTCGTTTGCTTGTGATTTAGTTAAAGGTGGATGAAATGCCTTCCTTCCGGTTGAAAGTCACTTTTTGCGAGTTTTCAGCGTTCTTTCGTCGGGACCCTTGCAGGGTTGTTGAAATTCCTAATTTCCCCTGTCACAGGTGGTGGTTATTTGGCGAGGGTTTGGCGACATAGATTTTCCGTTGAGGTTTCAATTAATGGATTTGGCGAGTTTGATAAATGAGGGTATGCTGTTGTTGCAACTATTTTAACTTTCGGCGAAGAGTGGGTTATGCCAACGAGGCAGTCCGGCGTCCTCCCTTTTAACGGGGTGTTTGAGGGACAAGGTCACTTTTTGCACTTTTGACTTACCATCGGACGCTGTACTCGCTGGCAGCTGAATTTTATTTTGGAAAATGCATTTTCCGCCTTTGGATCTACGGGCTTCTGCCTTGAGTTTTGAACGAGGGACTTAGTTATATGCATCATGACCTCTACTAATTATAGTCTCATCAGTTTTTGTGTTTGAATATGTAAGTTATTCAAAAGATAATTAAAATAGAAAAATCAACGAAGGGTGATGCCTAGTAATGGTGCCGTTAGAAGAAAAATTTTAGTCTCTCCTCCACGAATAGAGTCTTCATCTGTCTCGTTTCTTCCACGCCTTTAAGAATCATTTTCCGCTTGCAGAAATGCGTTCTCCACGATAGAGTTTTCATCTGCCTCGATGTTTCTTCCCGCCTTAAGAATTATTTTCCTCCCTGCAAGAAATTCCGTCACTGCTAGCTCCGGGGGTCGCTACTACATAATGCTCACTTAACTGAACAACGACTAACTTCAATATTGGATTGTAAATCAACTATCAGAGGAACAGAACTAGAACCTCCTTAGTGCATCCTAAT